ATTCCCAGACTACCCCAAGTGCAGTTACTTGCTTTTCTATACTCCTGCAGACCAGTGTACACAACTCTCTCATAGCACTTAGGATATTAATGATAATAATGGCTGAATTCTTTTTTTTTTAAAGACAGGATTTCACTCCACCACTACAGGCTGGAATGCTGTGGCATCATCGTAGTTCACTGCAACCTCAAACTCCTGGGCTCAAGTGATCCTCCTGCCTCAGTCTTCTGAGAAGCTGGGACTATAGGCACATGCCACTGTGTCCAGACAATTTTTCTATTTTTTGTAGAGACAGGGTCTCACTCTTGCTCAGGCTGGTCTTGTACGCCTGACCTCAAGCAATCTTCCTGCCTTGGCCTCCCAGACTGCTAGGATTATAGGTGTGAGCCACTGCACCTGGCCTCAATGGCTAAATGTTTACTGATCACTTACCAGAATGCCAGGCAGCACTCCAAACGCTTTTCAAAGGTTACTTTTTTTTTTTTTTTTTTTTTTTTTTTTTTTTGAGACAGAGTCTCACTCTGTTGCCCGGACTAGAGTGCTGTGGCATCAGCCTAGCTCACAGCAACCTCAAACTCCTGGACTCAAGCAATCCTACTGCCTCAGACTCGCAAGTAGCTGGGACTACAGGCATGTGCCACCATGCCCGGCTAATTTTTTCTATATATATTTTTAGCTGTCCAATTAATTTCTTTCTATTTTTGGTAGAGACGGAGTCTTGCTCTTGCTCAGGCTGGTCTCGAACTCCTGAGCTCAAATGATCTGCCCGCCTCGGCCTCCCAGAATGCTGGGATTACAGGCGTGAGCCACCGCTCCCGGCCGAAAGGTTTCCTTACTTAATCCTCAGTAACTCTGTGACGCAGGAACCATTATTACTCTTGTTTTACATGCTCCTGCGGATCAGAGATTTTAAGTCACTTGCCCAAGTCCACAGAGCTATTAAGTGGCTGGTAGGTACTTACACAAATACCTGGCACATAATAGCTGCTCAATAATTATTCACCTCATGAATGATTAAATCAGTAGACAAATGCAGAAGCAATTACATTTCTGTCTCCTTTACAAAATGCTCAAGTGGGAACCACTTCTTATTCATCTTTAAAACTATCCTCCCTGCCAAATACCTAGTAAGATGTAGGGCACTGGAAACACCTGCTGATGAGTGAATGAACAAAAGAATATAAGAGCAAAATAGTTAACGGAGTCCAAATCCCAGCATTGCCACTCACTAGCTTCAGCTAAATAGCTTCGGATGCCTGGGCCCCCATCTGTCACTCATCAAATGCAGAGATTGTATATGACATTTGCTTAAGTTCCTTCTAGCATTAAAGATTTATATTAAAAAAAAAGTCACATGATTTTGTGATTATGGCATTTCCCATACCAAATTATGCACTGCAGTTCTTCCGCCTTCCCTGTGAACATTGGATGTGACATTTGAGCCAGGCGTTACCCTGCTGCAGAGCCAGTATCAGTCCTGAAAGAGTTAATTGGCTGGATGCTTGGTTCACCTCATTCTTATCCAAACAGAGTCACACCCAGGGAAAGAATTATTAAGTGCCTGACAAAACCTTCATAAATAATAATCAATCATAAACAATGATCTCAAGTCAGACTATGCAAGTGGCACCTGAGCCATGGCTCTAAGGACATTCCAGGCCATTCTCCTCGTCCCCTGGCACCTTACCAGAATCCTTCTTCTCCAAATATTACTAGTGATAGATCCTGGTCCCTAATCTGGCACCACCGCCACCACGAGCACATGCGTGCGACACACACACTCACTCACTGATGGCACGAACGCAGCAGCGCAGTGCTGAGGGGCTGACACATGCTGTGAGACACATGCCGAGGCCCCGATCCACTCCAGATGGCACTGAGATGCGTCCACATCGGTGCAAAGGCAGGGGCTCTGGCTGAATTTCATTTGTTCCTGCTCTACCTGTGGCTGACCAGGAGCTTGGCTTTATGTCTGGTACCTGATACACTCGTGTCGTCTGCTTAGCATTGATGATCAGCCACATGTATGCTAATGCCCAGGATTTCCCTCTGGCTAATGCTCAGCGCAAACCATTACACCAAAGGGTACCTACCTGCGGTGTGTGAGCAAGACAGTGTCTGTTCACGGTGGAGGAGAGGCAGGGCCCTGTTCCGTGTTTTGCCTGACTCGCAACAAGGAGTACGGGCGCCGGCCTCACAGAGCGGGATGCTAACCATCCGCACGTGAATCCAATGCGGACAGGGCCTCCGCTGCGACCGGAGCACAAGTGAACAGCCTCTGTAGAGGACACTTGTTGTTTACCTGTCCCACACTCCCACGTCTGTGGGGACCTGCTCCTCCCTCACGCCCGTTGTGTGACGCTTGAAGGGCTGCCAATCACAGCGGCCAGTTCCCCTGGCTTTGGCCGTAATAAACCCACAGGTGAGCCCATCAGAACCCTCCTCTGAGATTTTTTTCAATATTGAGCTGGAAGAGGAAGATTCTAGCCTTTGGGGTCAGAGAGCTATAAAGACTTGAATGAAAGGCTACCCACAGGGAGAAAAGTCTGTTTGCAGGAGGGAAGAATGGAGCCCACAAAGAGCAAAGCACCCCGATTATGACAAAGGAGAAAGACTCCGAGTGTGTGGACCTTCCTATTTATACGAGTTAATGATTTCCATTTTGTTTGGTTAGTTTGAGCTGGGTTGTGAAAAGGACAGCTCAAGTGACCTAGCGCAGTCACCATCCGTATGTACAGAGCGTTTTCAAACGTATCGTCCTTCCTCAGCACCCAGGTGGTTTTTATGAGATGGGCTGTCCCTCATTTGAAATGTCTTTGTTCCTTCCCACAAGAAAGGCGTCACCATTCCTGGGCAAGAGGCACTCTTAGCACCACTAACTATGGCCGTTTTCTTCCCCTTTGTATCTCAGGTGCCAGTGGTGCCCTGCCAACCACAAGACAGCTGTTCTATTTCAAGCTATCAATGCTCGTAAAATGGGAGCTGGCCAGACAGGCTCAGCAACCGACGAGTGATGTTTGAAAGAAGAGCCTCTTTGCGGTGGTCGGCCCTCTGTTCCATCCCTCTGCTGGCTGACTCCCTCTGAAGATCCGTCTTCAGATCACCAAGAGGGTCCCTCAGCAGCCACAGAGTGTTGGGTGTATGGGGCAATCACATTTCCTAATAAAACAGGAGCCCTGAAAACCCTCTGTGAGAAAACATAACTCAGTCGGGTCATGTGACTTTTATGGGAACTTTCAAAAGCAAAGCCACCATATACAACTACGGAGAAGGGTGACGCTTTGAAGGCTACAAGCTTCCCCTCCTCTGACTCTGCAGAGCTGCCCGGTGAACTATGAACCATGAAGTTACGACAATGGGGCTGGCAGGCCCTGGGCGGAGCGGTGCCCAGGACACTGGTCCCACCCTGTCCTACCCTCTCCTTTTCTCCACCGCCCCTCTGCTCTGCCTGCGGCTAGAGCTCTGCAGGCCAGGGATAGGCACTGCCTGGATGGCTCGTCTGCTCTGGGCTGAGGCGATCGGTCTGCTTCAGCCTGCTGGAATGTTCTGCCTACGTCCCGTACAGTACAGTTGGTGCGCCCCGGGCTTGGAAGGGCTTGGCAGCTGTCTCCCCAGGGCAGTGGAAAGTATCCCACAGTGGACTCTACAGCTCCTCATCACCAAAACAAAAACACAACAGCCCGATTGCCATGGAGAGTTCAATCCTCTTGTCCTGGGATTGGCACCGACTGGAATTCCAAAGGCTCTGGCTGACCTACCTCCTGCGAGGTCTAAATACAGCACGTTCAATTCTAACCTAAACACACAGCCTGGACCAGCGCCCGGGCCTGACGGCCCCAGGAGCCACCCAGGAAGTCAGCTGGGAAGTCTTGACTCCTAGCCGCCCAAGGGTGGGGGGCATTTCAGAGCTATCAGAGGTGTGATGGGCTGGTGAGCCTTCACTGATGCTGTCTATGGCCACACGACGGGGGTTGCAATCAGTTTGTACAGGGCTAACTACACAAGTGATTCTGAGCAGAGAAATGCATCCTGGGGAAGGGGCTGGGCAGTGGTGAACGCAGGCGTGTCAGGAGGGAGAGAATGAGAGAGGGAGGAAAAGGCAGTAAGCACCAAAGACCTACTAGCCAATTAACACATTAACTGCCATGGGAGTTGTATTTAACTCACGCTAGTTTTGAGCCCGGGGCCTTGTGAAGCATATGCAACTCACACATCTCTTTACCTTTACCCTTATGAACTATGTTTCAAGTTGCATATAACTCACGCACAGAAAATAATAAAAAATAACACTTTTTCCATTAAATTGGAAAGAAATTATTTTTGAGGTTTTTATTATATTTTTGTAATAAAATACCAAGACCCCAGGGAGAAAACTTTTTTTGTAATGTGGCAATGCGTTAATTCAAAACCAGGGGATCTTTCCAAAACATTGGTACCCAGGGGAACACAACTCTCTAATTATGCCTCTCCATGGGATTGGAGGGCTTAAGCCCTGGAATGAGACAGATCGAGGTTGCCCTCCAGTTATGTGACCTTGGGCAAGACAATTGACTTCTCAATTTTCACACCTCTAAAATGACCTAAAGGACTACTGTGTGATGAGACCATGGATATAAAGTGCCTAGCGCATAGTAGTTGCTCAATAAATAGCAGCTACTAGAAGTAGTAGTGGTAGCAGTAATAGCAGAAGTAGGATAACATCAGGTATTTGCTTCCCTCCTTTGACCTTGCCTTGGATTGGGCACAGGGCTTCCTTCGCTTGGAGAGGGCACAAGAAAGGTTGCCGAGGCCACCATGATAAGATGGAAACTCCCAACGAGGAAAAGCCCACATGTATAGACAAAGGAAACCTTCACTTGAGAAAAACAATGCGACATTCACACCCACATCTACTGAAGAACCTTAGAATGGCAAAATGGCCACAGCCTCCTAACCTCCCAAACGTCAACACACGCAACCCTGCAAAGGTAAGAAATGCCTACACGGGGGCTTCCCCTTACCTTGGTGTTCATGCACGACTTCCCTCGCTTATACTCTTTGTGGGAGCCACGCTTGTCCAATTTGTACCACAGGGCTTTGGCCTTCCAGGTGGTCACCTTGGACTTGAGCTTGGAATAAAAGTTTCTGTGGTCCAGAGGGTCTAGGTCCAGGTGTCGTGTGAGGATGTTGAAGGCCTGGAGGGTACCTTTGCACGTGGACGCCTGGACAAAGTTCTCAAAAACCTGTCCTGCCTGGGCCTGCTTCTCATCCTCGTTTTCCCCCATGGTTCAGGAGCCGTGTGGAGCAGTGGTGCGGAGAGGACAGAGGAGAACACCATGAAGTACCTGGAGAAACTTCACACCTGCAAAGGCAGAGGGAGGCAGAGGTGAGCTTCGTGGGCAATGAGTGTGGGGGTGGGGTGGGTGCTGAGAGATAAAAATAAAATTCCCTTAAGACACTAAAATCTTAACCATAATACTTAGTGCTCAGTGCTAAGCACAAACCGTGTAAATGGGATGTACAATCGTGCCTTCTCACCTGGCAATGCGGCCTGGCTGGCAATCTCTCCCCTACACCCCCTCCTCTTGCTGGCTGGAAAGAACCACAGACTGTACGATGCTACACCCTGGCTGATGTCAACAGTACCTGGTCAATCTTGCTATAAACCAGATGTTTCTGGAAATAGTGACTAGCGAAGGAAAAAAAATAGAAAAGCATAGATTTAGCACCTTTGCAAACCTACCATTCTTGGTGCTGCAAATGGGTTGACTAATATCAACAGAACCTGTTCCCATTACATTGTGCACAGACAGAAAAAAAACAAATCCAAAGCACATGCCTCTCTGGGTTCCATGACCATCCCACCTATCCTTAGACATCAAACTGCAAGGTCTTTCTTCATTAGTTACCAGAGGGCAGGTCTTTCCCATGTGGATGACAAACGGCAGCTTCTCAAAACTCTCTGTTCCTGGTAGCTGCTGGGAGCACACACCCACCTCAGTCAGACACAAGGAAAGACAGAGGGACATGCGGGCCGCCTTCCCCGACATGGACAAGGAGCCTGTGCTCTGTCAGCCCGGCCGCCAGCTATCTGGAACAAGTGCTTGGGCCAACGGGAGGGGAACGCGGAGGGAGCTCATTCACATCACAAAAATAACTCGCCCGGGTTTTGGCCGTGGACCTTTCTCTCCGCATCACTCTAACCTCAGGCATGTCTTAGGAAAGTCATTTAAGTTTCAAAAGAACAAAAATAAAGTAGAACTGATTTTCCAAAGCACTGTTTTTCCAGAATCCAAAGCTAGAGCAAGAAGACAAGTGTGGAGGAACTGGGGCTGACCCGGCTGTCGGGAGGGTTTGAGGGCATCTGTAAACAAGAGGGCGCAGCAGACCGAGCCCCCTAGCAGCCCCTGGCAAGAGGAGCTCGGCAAACCCACAGGACACAAGGCCCTCGTGGCAGCTTCGCGCTGTCTACACAGGAATGCTTAGTGTGGGCACATTTGGATTGCGGGATGGTTTTTATAATACTAAAAGCTGAGAACGGTGTTTATCTTCTTCCTTAATCTCTTACTCATTCATCCAGTAACAATTATTGGTGCCTTGGCAAGAGTGGGCATCACGCAAGGTGCTGGGGATACAGAGATGGCCAGCACAGGGCCAGACCTGGCCTCGCGAGGCGGGCAGATTACAAGACAACAGGCAGGGGCTTGTGGAATATGAACAACGTGCATGGAAGCCCAGAGCAGGAGGCGTCCAACAGAGCCTCAGGGAGTCCAGAGGAGCCACAAGACGGAAGTGTCAAGAACACTCCAATTTTAGGAACCAGACGGATTTCACTAGAAGACTGGAAAGTGGACACTCTAGGCAAAGGGAACACACAGAAGCGTGAGTCTCGAAAGGGCTGGCACAGGCGTGGAAAGACATCAAGTTCAAGGCGTCAGGAGTTCAGGACCTGTGAGGAGGAAAGGTGGGGATGTCCAGGGCAGATGGCGGAGTGTGTCTCCTCCAGGCCAAGAAGGGGCCCGGTCCCTCCAGTGGGCCACGGGGAGAAGACAGAGCAGCAGGGGAGACGAGTCTTCGGGAAGATGGGATGGCAGGGGTGGAATGGAGGAGGAGGCTGGAGGCAGCAGTGAGGAGAGAAGCTGGGAGAGGGGAAGAACGGCACTCACAGAGGAGCACAGCCCGCAGGCACCACCCAGAAGGGGCAGCCTGCTGAGGCAGACACCAACATCCAGACACTGGGGGCAGGGGGACACCAGCGACTTGTGCAGGGCCCTGCCCTCCCTTCCTGCTTTCCCCGAGAGCTTCCAAGGTACCTGGCACTGGGCTCAGCTGAAGGGAGATTGGCACACATGCCTTGCTCCAGGCCCAGCCAGCTTCCACGCCTCAGCCAGGCCTGGATCCTCCGTGAGGCCTTACCTGGCTACTCTGTCCTCAGCACTCAATGCCTTCAGCAGACTAGGGACACAGCTCTGCACCCTGCCAGACACGATGAGTACAGATTCCCTCCCAGATGCTCTCCGGGCTCTAGGATGTCCACCGTGCTCACTGTGGAATTACTCACATCAACACCACCTCCTACTGTGTCTCAGCATCCCCACGAGGGACACTTGCTACCCAGAGAGCATCAACAGAGGCAGGCCTCGCTGGCTTTTCAGAGCATGTTAACATCCTCAGCCTTTGTCTATCTTTGGAACCACGCTGTGCCCAGCATTGAAGAACGGATGCAGTGGCTGGGGACAAATACAAGGCTACTTGAATTCGTCTGCTACCCTGCGGTCCTTTCTGAGGACCAGCTAGTGGAACAGAGAAAACCACAAGGCTTTAGAGATATTAGAGGCTGAGTACAAAGCTCAGCTTGGCCCCTAACCACCACGTGGCCTCAGTTTCTTCTTTTGCAAAAGATGGACAGTAATCTCAGCCTTGCAGGGTTGCCATGAAGGGTGAGAAACACGGATGGCGGCAGAGCCCAGCCCCGGGAGGCATTCAGTGCATCTGTCACATGAGATAGATTTGTATCTGGAGGAATGCACCAGTCTGAAAAATAGTTTTGTAAATCCGGTCTCCGAGTTGTCACCTCCTCCTTGTCCAAAATCATAAACTGTTTGGAGGTATCAAGCCATGCCTGACTCCTAGACGATAATTTACAAACTGGAAGAACCTGTCTCCTCCCCACCAGAAGTGCCTCCCCTCCTCCTCAAAAAGAAGAAAGAACAACTTAATCTTAGAGCTCCAGTGGAGAAAGAGCCAAAGATGGTGCTGAGGGCTGGGGTGCGTGTGGGAGGAACTGGCCCTTATCTGGAGTGAGATAGCGGAGGTGGAGGAAGATGGCTTGACAGGAGAAGATAAGCGTGGCTTGGACGCTACCACAGCAGCCCGTACCAGGCTCAGACCTGCCTCCCTGGACCGAAACAGTCCAGTCTCAGCCTTTAAAGTCGGCTTTCCAGTGTAAGTCAAGGACCTTAAAAATGACTAACACCTGTGGAAGGTAGCTTTCCTCATGGGAGAACATCAGAGTATTCAGAATCAGGCAAACTTGGGTATAAATCTGGTTTCGAGCACTTGCTAGCTGTGTGACCCTAGGCAAGTTATCTCATCTATCTGGCCCCAGTTTTCTCATCTGTGAAATGGGAATAATGCAGTCTTCCCTCTGTATCTGTGGGGGATTTGTTCCAGGGCCTCACACAGATACCAAAATCTGTATGTGTAGCTGGGCGTGGTGGCTCACGCCTGTAATCCCAACACTTTGAGAGGCTGAGGAGAGAAGATCGCTTGAGGCCAGTTCGAGACCAGCCTAGGCCACATAGTGAGACTCTGTATCTACAAAAAATTAAAATGTTAGGTAGGCGTGGTAGCACATGCCTGTAATCCCAGCTACTTGCGAGGCCGAGCTGAGGCAGGGGGATCGCTTGAGCCCAAGAGTTTGAGGTTGCAGTCAGCTATGATCATGTCACTGCACTCCAGCCTGGGCAACAGAGCAAGACCCTGTCTCACAAAAAAAAAAAAAATCCACAAATGCTCAAGTCCCTTACATAAAATGGTACAGTATTTGCATATAACCTATATACATCCTTTCATTTACTTTAAATCATCTCTAAATGACTTATAATACCTAATACAATATGAATGCTATGTAAATAGTTGTTATACTGTATTGTTCAGGAAATCATGGCAAGAAAAAATGTACATGTTCAATATAGACACAACCATCTACTTTTTTTCCTGAATATTTTCAATCTGCAGTGAGTTGAATCCATGGTTGTGGAGCCCATGGGTACAGAGGGCTGACTCTACTACGCACGCCATGGGGTTGTAAGGAATCAGTGAGATCAGGTATGTGCAGTACTTAGCACTTTGTGGATTCATGATAATCAGTGCTCATTACTATTCTTCAAATGGCCCAAACATCATCAAATCAAAAGGAAGGGGAAAAAGAACACAATTCATGACCACTGAGACTAGCTTTCCAGGTCAAGGAATTATACACAGGTTGAGTATCCCTTATCCAAAATGCTTGGGATCAGAAGTATTCAGGGTTTTGGATTTTTTTGGCTTTTGGAATGTTTACATCATACTTACCGGTTGAGCATATCAAATCCAAAAATCCAAAATCCGAAATACTCTAATGAGCATTTCCTCTGAGTATCATGTCAGCACTCAGAACATTTCAGATTTTGGAGCACTTTGCATTTCAGATTAGGGATACACCACCTGTATACTTTAAAACTAGAGGACAAGGGCTTTCAATTTAGAAGATCTGAGTTCAAACCCACTTCCTAGATGTGTAGCCTTGGACACATCACTCAGCTTCTGAGTTTTCTGTTCCCCATACATGAAATGGGGAACACCACGCGGAGTCGTTTTGGTGATGGATGCACATGTTTGGGACGCAGGGCAGTGTGGGGGATGAACGGGAAAGGGCTCACCCAGCACCCAGAAGGACTCGGTGAGTCTGAGTCTAAGCTTTAAGCCTTTTCTTCCAGAGAACTGGGGTGTAATAACTTTGGTGGGTACCCACCAACCCCTATCCCAAAAGAAGGTGGTCAAGGGTTTTTTGGTTTTCTCTTTTAAAGCAGAGGATCCTGGGTGACTGGCTCTTGTTAACCACCACCCAGCTGCTGCCTTTTTGGAGTTTGATATGAAATTGAAATAAAATCAACTAGCCAGAAATATGAAAGGTTTCTCCATTTTCTGGCAAGAAACAAGATGTGATGCTTTCATTTCCAAGAATAGCTTTGAAGCAATCTGGTTTCTGCCAACTGAAGTCCCTTATTTGTGGTTCTTCTGCTCCTCTGCCTATGTGACTTCATGAGTCACAAAGCAATTCCCTCTCCCTGCCCCTGGCTGCTACAAATTAAAACTCAG